GTTACGTCATAATGCCGTACTTGACGTCAAAACTATAGTTCAAACTGTTTTGCTTTAAAAATGACAGTTGAATGGTGAAATTTGTGGTATCTCATCATAAAAATAATGTAAATATAAGAAATGAATTTAATTTTTGAAGATTCATGAGATACATGAACTACAACGCTTCACGCCGGCATATTTATCATGAAGCGCTAACGCGCTTCATGAAATATGCCGGCGTGAAGCGTCGTAGTTCATGTCCTCATGAATCTTCAAAAATTAAATTCATTTCTTAAATAATTATATGTATATACAATGTATTTGATTTACTGCACATACTATTTACTGCAAACTAAATGCAGGATATCAAACGCTTGCATTTGTCCTTTCTTTTCATATCACTAGTACATATACCCGTTATTGATGACTGATATTAATATCAGAAAGAAACACCATTTAATTACGGTCCTAACTGTCCCCCTAACATGTTTTTTTTTTTTTTTTTTTTTTTTCCAAATATGTGACAGCCGTTTAATTAATCTTAATAAAGTAATAGCTTTACACGAGATCTTATGGAATTGCGAATAGAAACTTTGTAATCATGAAAATAATCATGAATGTATATGACAAACCCAATAATACTTGAAAACCCTTTCCATTTACAACGATACGAGGTAGACAATCCCTTATATCATGTTTGTAATATAGCAACATTTTTTCCCGGCTCTGCACTTGGCATTTTTGATAGGAAAGTTTCACTTTAGGATTTCGATATATGTTTGACGGATGTCGGCAAAAATACATCATATTTGATGTTCCACTGCTAAATGCAAGTTCAGTTTAACGCAGCTGTAATAACATAGATTTAACTTTTTTTGTCAACCCGAAACTGTAGATCTTGGAGGTATGTCTGCCGAATAAATAAGGACATATGCATATAATATGATAATTTTTCAAGATATTCTGAATTCAAGATTATAGTGCCATGTTCGTAGACAAAAAATCAGCATGCATTTCCTTGGGGTTTGAAAAGATATTAATTAATGAAAATTCTTGTATAATTCAAAGAAAAATATACAAAAATTACTAAACATATATTCTAAATGTTTTGTTTATCCAAATTTGTTTTAGAGGAAGTGTACAAAAGCATATACACATGTATAGACATTAAAATATAGCACACAGTTTCTTTAAGCATTGGAAGTCTTCAACTCCAGGGAAAAAGACAATAAAGTTCAAACTACATTGCGTATTTCCTTAACTAAGAACGGTAAAGCCTTAACCTGAGTTTTAATCTCGAGAACATTGATGCGCTGAGAAATGAAAAAGGCGGAGCCAATTTTATTACCTTGAATTTAAGATTACTATTAAGTTGCAAAATTTTAACGAATAACCGAGTAAAGAAATTTTAGTCGATAGTTGGTATGATCGAATAGTCAAGTACTCGAATATTCGTTGACATCCCTACTAAATATATATTTAAAAAGTTGACGATGGAAAAACTGAAGTCATCTCTTTTTTCATACAGTTTATAGTTGTTCGTTGATCATTATCGTCTATAATCAGTAAAACATCTAAATATGAAACAGATGTGGTGGACGCTGTGGTGTCTTTTATTTCAAGTTCACTGGATTTATAGAGTCGACATATGAATGAACATAAACATAGCAAAGGTTTTTGCAGGCATCTATTTGAAGACGAACGTTAACGAAAACTATGGCAATATTAATAAAATGCAATGCGACATACATTTGTGAATAATATGAGAAGTTTGCAATATTGAGCTCAGTTCATTTTTTGTCTGAGCAAATAGTAGGCAATTTACAACGGCAAGTTCAGAAGACTACCGATTCTGAGTAAAACTTGTGGAAGATGTACATTGTAAAACAGTGTACTGTATTGTAATCAAAAATTAAAGCAGAAGATCTGGTTAATGAAAATTACATTTACTCAACTTAACTCTCCATCCCCATGTTCTTTCAGTTCCCTGCCTTTGTCTGATCTTATCAGAACGTGTATCTACAAACGTCTGAACTGCAGACCTGTGGAGCTCAATTTTATACTACTTGGACCTTCCATTATGTTCAATGTATATTGTATATATGATATCTTAAAAAAAACAAGAGTACAGCAACTGGTGTTTTGTTATAGTCATCCAAGGTGTTCCAAATGTACTAAATAGCTAAATACTGAAAAAAACCTCCTTGTATTTATTTCGCATTTGCAGCATACTTATAATGTTTTCTAGAAATTGTCTGGTAAAGTTTTATTTAATATGTACAATTTTTAGAGATACAAGCATTTACAAGCAAATACATGTTGTAACATATTCATGGAACCATTACAAGAAAAAGAAGACTATTGCTGCGACGACGTTTTAGCAATTGGAAAAGTTGAAGTCATCCAGTTTGTCATACAGTTTAGTTATTGTGGGTAATTATTGTCTTTAGTCAGTAGAACATCCACATATGAAACAGATGTGACAGACTCTGAAGTTCTTTTATTTCGAGTTCGCTGAGTATATCCTGACTTCAGCTTCTCCATCGTCAACTTCCCTTATTTATTTAGCAATATTCCAACATCGCTTGTATATGTTTAAGTCTCTCAACTGATTCGATACGCAAGAGCATGCTCTGAATACGATCAAATTTAAACAGGGAAAAGCTACTGACAAATATATTGATGTTACTAGGTCGTTATTATGACCTTGTTTGCAAATACAAAATATCGCTGGGTCGAATTTTGTCCATCATGTTTCATTTCATTTGTTAAATCATTGCTTTTATACTTAATTTTACTTCGGAGTACTCCGTATACCTGATCAATACATAGGGCTCATGGCGGGTGTGACCGGTGGACAGGGGATGCCTACTCCTTGTAGGCATCTTAACCCACATCTGGTGTCTTCGGGCGTCCGTGGTTTTTCCCTGTTAACGATTTGTATTGGATTTATTGATTGATCGCTGTTCGTTATCCTCATCTTTTACACATTTATACTGTATTTCCCTGAGTATCTCTAGTTGCCTCGAGGATGTTCTGATTGAGTCATTTTATTACTTTATTGACACATTTATGTTTTTATATTCAGCTATACATGGAACAAATAAAACAAGGAAAATGAAAGAATTAAATATTTATTAATTTGACTTAAATGATACTTTGATATAAATATATTTTTTATGAAATTTGAAGTCATATGAACTACACTAATGATGCAATACACCTTATCTGTATAGATTCCTGTTTGTCAAATTTCATACGTGTAAATATTTAATTTCAAATATTTGGGCAAATCTCTGACAAAGCTGCTAACAACATAGTCTTTGTTTGTAAGGCTCATTATTTGAATTGTATTGTAGAGGAACTAGGATTTAATTCTACGGATGGAAATCCAACTTACACCCATACCTGTACCTCCCTTTCTAAGGAGGAAATTCTTCAAAACCATATTTCCGTTTTAGATATTTTTAATATTCCCAACAATCAAAATGAATTTGAATTACCATACCTTTACTGGATTCCTAAACTTCATAAAAATCATTACAAACAAAGATACATAGCGGGTTCCAGTAATTGTTCCACCAAGCCTCTTTCTTTACTCCCCACTAAAATATTTACTTTAATGAAGGAGAACCGTCAGGAGTACTGTACAACAGTATTTTCCAGAAGTGGTGTAAATCAGATGTGGACACTTAAAAACTCCAAAGAACCTCTGGAAAATTTGAAATCAAAAAATTTTACTAAAATCAATAGCATCAAAATGTTCGACTTTTCAACACTTTATACAACCATTCCCCACGATAAATTGAAGTCCAGGCTTTTTGACAGCATAGACAACTGCTTTTTCAATAAAAATGGAACTCGTAAATATACTTACCTTGTCATTGGTCATTTACAAAAATATTCTGTTAAAAAGCACTCTGAATGTACACACAAGTATTCTGAAGTTGATTTTAAAAAGATGCTTAAGTTTCTGATTGACAATATCTATGTAGTTTCTGGAGATCAGCTCTTCCAACAATCTGTTGGAATTCCCATGGGTACCAATTGATCCCCTTATTAGCAGACCTATTTTTGTGTTCATATGAAGCAGAATTTATTTAAAAACTTCTGCATGAGAAGACGAAAACACTTGCTGTGGCCTTCAACTCGACATTTCGATATATTGACGACGTATTATCAATTAACAATAGTTACTTTCATTCATATGTCGACTCGATATATCCCAGTGATCTTGAAGTAAAAGATACCACAGATTCTGACATATCCATCTCATATTTAAATATTTTACTAGGAGAAGACGTTAATGGTAACCTAACAACAAAGCTTTATGATAAACGTGATGACTTCAACTTTTCAATCGTCAACTTCCCTTACTTATGTAGCAATAAACCCTTATCACCTGCATATGAGGTTTATGTCTCTCAGTTGATTCAATACGCAAGAACATGCTCTACGTATGAACAATTTCTTAAACGAGGCAAGCTTTTGACAAACAAGTTGATGAAATAAGGATATCAACAGTCTCGTTTGAAGTCATCTTTTCGCAAGTTTTATGGTCGATACAATGACCTTGTCAGCACATACAACCTATCATTGAGTCAAATGCTGACTGACGTTTTTCATACTAATTGTTATGCCATTGCTTATACACTGAACTTTCTACTGATTTTTCCGTTTTTTCCCGTTCATGACAAGGAGCACACGGCGGGTGTGACCGTTCGGCAGGGGGAGCTCACTCCTCGATGGCACCTGATCCCACCTCTAAATTTTGAGGTCCGTGTTTGCTCTGCTCTAAATTTGTATCGTTTTATTGGACTTTCGAAATTGAATACTGTTCGTTTTCTTCATATTTCATGTAAATGAACTGTCCCTGAAGGCTGACCGGAAGAGATAAGGTCATTTGGCCAAATTCACTGGTAGAAAAAAAAAGAGGATTACTTTCTAATTTTGCAGCATACTTCACACAAAGTTTGCTTATGACCATAGGAAGTGTAAATTCAGAGAAAGAATATTTGTATTTTTTCTTTAATACATTGTTTAAGCAATCTGAAACCCAGCAAAAGACCATCTTCCAGACTCGTTGCTGTGGAAGGATCCTTCGCCTGTACCTTTTGACATTGTTAATACAGTGTCTCCAGCTTGTAACATTAGGATGGCAAACCCTGTTGACATTTCTTCTTCCCAATTCGTCTCAGTATCAACATGAATGGAACCTTTATACGCACCATTATGAACCAGCTGGACCGACACTTCACCGTAATCGCCCGACTCTCCAGCAACATGTTCACCAGAAGCATAGATGGTGTAGGAAAATGCATATACTCCACTGGTGGGCGCTGTGAAAGCTCCAGTGTGTTGGCTGTATGCATTTCCGTAATTCGTTACCACAGTATCATATAGAAACACGTGATCCACGCCAACTCCACCGAAGTCTTTTGAAATGTAGGCATAAAAGGCTACATGACCCTCGGCCAAACCTGGTGAAAGGAATCTACGTATTTGCTGCTTTTTGGATTCTGTAAAGACACAATTCCAAAATTTTTATAAGATATTAAATTAGATACCGTAAAATCAGCTACTTTTGCTGGGATTTAATTTTAGTTGTATTCGAGGTATGAAATGACTGCCGAATTTATGTCCTCCTTAAAGTGTTAAAATTGTTATCAAGATAACGCTACACTTTTTTAATCACGTAATCAAATCCCCAAGAACCAATATTTATTTCCTCAAACCACGAAAATTTGATCCCACGAAAATTAGTGATTTTGAAGTATATGTATATCTTTTTTGAAGTACATGCATTGTACAAATCTACATTTAAGGTATGTCACTCGTGAAATTTGTTATATCAAGAATTTTTTGAGAAGTATATTTTGGATAAGTACTCATAAAGTATGACTCAAAATCGCAGAGAAAATGGGGGGTCAGTGTGCATCTAACTGAGCTACGGTACAATTAAGTTGACCTTTTTGCACTTAAATTGTAACTCTTTGGTTAATCACTTTAACCGTTATCATATTTTATAAGATGTAACTATGGCAATAAACATAATCTTATTTTACGTAAAATAGTTTGGATAATATTTATCATTGAACAAATCATGCAAATTAATGCGCGTAAATTATTGTGTGACCTTTTTGCACTAAAAAAGTCTCATATTTGAGGTATTAAAAACCTAAATAGGCAATAGAATATTTTCTTGTATCAAACTTTTTACGACGTAAGTGCTGATGGGTCAAAAGTATCGAGTAGTTTAAAATAATGAAAGAAAAAGTTGGAGTCAGTGATGTAAATTTTGAAATATTGGTCAAAATATGCGATTTTCAGGCAAAAAAACTGTGTAATTTTATCTCGACTTCCTTAATATATCTTCATTTCTTGGCAATGTTTGTTGAGCGAAGGTGTAAATTTTGTTATAAAAATATAAATTGAGACCTATATTTAATATTCCAGGCATATCATAACGGAAAATATTCTCTGAGTAAAAGTATGTGAGGCTAAAGTTCCAAGATGTTAAATTTAATAAATGTGTAGATTTGAAGAATTTTCTGCTTAATATCCTTCCGCCACGAGAAATAGTCCCTTATAATTCTTGCTTCTTTGTGAATTTTTGCGCAGTTTTTTAATTGAATGTTGAACATTTTACATTGTTAAATTTAAATATGTTATAAAGATTGAATTGTAATGAATAGTTTTTAAGTAAGAGGTTCTGACTGAAATTTTCTAAAAGGCTGACGAGTGACATACCTTAAGCAATGAATAAATGTTTTTTTTTTCATTCATACATTTACTTATATATAAATTTGCATCACTGATTGGTGCATACAAATTAAATGAAGTACATAAGGAATATTGTTATTCACATTTATGCAATCTACAACCTAGCAAGTGAAACGTGAAAAACAATTATTAACAGATATATATTAAAGTTTTCTTTTTTCTATCATTTTAAACTATACTGTAATTTAAAGTAAATTCATATTTGCAAATAGTTTATACTATATATCACATTAATTTGCCAACTTATTTTGTGTTCCATTTACTGATATTGGCCAATGAATATCAAACTACCATCCTGTCAGGTCAATCTGAGGGCAACACTATCAGCTTCTGTTCATAGGTATAAGAAAGCATTATTCTCCCAATATTGATTTCATAAAATTATCGTAGAATTGTAATAAGGATAAATTTAATTGTAATCATATAATAAAAGTAATAAATGTCTTATTTCCCATCTTGATTAAAATTTAATGTTATATCCATTTTTACGTCAGAGAAATTGGGGTAGCCAGGAATGTACTTCAAATAAAACTAAATTTTATCGCTTCTCCAGACCAGACAAGTCAACATTTTTCTTTTCTCTACGGAAGAAGTCCCACAAAGAGTTCACAAGTGAAAGACACTGAGAGATAAATAGTTATCTATATTTAGATAAAACTGAAGCCTTATAAATCACAATAAACAGTTACTGCAGCAATATCAATGATTAATGTACAAAATGCGTGAATTCAGTGTCCGACATTAGGTTGGGGTTCAAGGTACTCCTTTCCAACCTACACCGTTTTAGTCTCGCAACCCTGGCTTTGAACAGGTGTCCTTTTCGAGTTCATTGTCAGTTCCAATTTGTCCTATTTAGTTTGATAATGAAATACGAAGCCTGTATGTATGTTCTCATCTTTCGTGAAAAGATGAAAAGAAAAAAAATATACAGTTCTTTCTCTAAACGATGAATATTCATTAACTTACATCACATGATTATAAAATTAATAAAGCAAATAATACCTGCTTCATGCATATATTTCACATTTCCTAATTTTCTTTCTGTTTTATTGACCATTTTGTTAACTTTCTCCGTTTGGTCATTCACAATCCCCAAAACAGATTTACTCTCAATGAACTGAACTTTGCTTTCTAGATTTTTTATTTCTTTGGATTGTCCCTCAATGAATCTGGATTGCTTTTCAATGACGTCATTTTGTCTCTCTATCAACTGGAACATTTCCTCCATTTTTTGTTCCATATGAATTTTCCACTCTTCATTTTCCAATCTTCCTTCCGTTGTAAAAACAGAACACAGTACAAAAATGAACACTCTTTGAAGATACGTCATGTTGAGATATACGTACACTGTCAAGAATTGTTCCTTATCGCAGACCTAATTTTGTACACATGGCCGTCAATTATGTACGGTCCTCAGTGTATCTCACTGATCCATATTTCACTGATCCATATTTTCTGAGCATTTTGAAAATAGGAAAATCATGCACTTTCCGAACATGCAATACTAGCTAGTATCTTTCAAATACCATCCTGAAATCGGTACTTAGCATTGTTAAAATGAACTCAACAGCATCATTTGATATGAATGACCAAGAAGTCTTACTTTGGGATGGGATGTCTTGCACCACAACCCCTAGGTGAAAGACCAGGGAATAAAGCCCGGGAGACTGGTCAGTTTTAGATATTGACGCTACAACTTTAATTTCTATAAATATATATTTATCGTGATTTATATTATTTGAAATTTATTATATTCTGTAAGTAATGTATTTATAGTGTATCTAAATTGTGCTTCACTGGTACATGCATAACCTTTGTAATATAAAAATACTAGCTGTTAAAATTGAAGACAAGTTATTTTTTCGTTTTGTTTTGGATGTACTCTTGTCCATTCCAATGTTCAAATTATTTTCTTTCTAACCCTTTTTTAATTGTCTCTAAAGTATGCCAATAATTTTGATGTAATTTATTTTAGCAGACACATTCTCCGTCACTTTGCAAAAGAAGAACTCTTTGAAGAATACTGACTATTTTAGAGATTAACATTCTATTGAGCTGCTACTAAAACGATACTATAAGTTAAAATTAGCACTCTACTAAATAACATGATAAACAGTATCATCCTCAGGTAGTGCAGATACAAGTTTGTTCAAATCAGGGTCCTTTGGGTAGGGTTGCGCCAAAATTGTTCAAATTATTTTCCCTGCAATTAGGATGGGCCACACATACTAAGAAATCAAAGTTAAACTTTACAATATTTAAGTTTTTTGGCAATCAGAAGTTAGAAGGCTGTTCCATATTCCCTATTGACTATTCGAATGGCGAACTGCATGCTTTGACCGGTTCCCTATTCAAATTACCGTAAGTGTCCTAATAATTTTTTTCCAAAAACTTTGAATAACTCATTATAATACATGTTAAAGAAGCAAGTCAAAGACATCACTTAAAAAAGAAGAGTGAGGACACCAAATCAATGTAGCTAGCCTGACCAAAATGATGACAATGGAGGGAATAGGTAAACCTTAAACCAGGAGCTGGCTAACACCCGGGATCCCATATTTAGACCTTCATCTTTTTATTGGGGGAGGGGTCTGGGAGAGACCCCTCGACAGTCAAAAGGAATTGATGTTACAAGGCCGGGAACCTATTTAGCTAGCCGGTCAAAATTGGGAAAATCCCGTATATGACTGTTGTAAGAGTACATAGTTCGAGGGGCTGGCTAACACCAGGGATCCCATATTTAGACCTTGATCTTTTTTGGTGGAGGGGTCTGAGAGAGACCCCTCGACAGTCAAAAGGAATTAAGGTTACAAGACCGGGAACCTATTTGGCTGGCCCGGTCAAAATTGGGAAAATCCCGTATATGACTGTTGTAAGAGTACATACATGTAGTTCGAGGGGCTGTTTTTTGTTTTTTTTCAAGACCAACAGGACCATGATTAGTGACATAAATATGCAAGCATCTTCTTATATAAATTTGTTTGTTTGTTTGTTTGTCTTATATAGATTTAAGTTAGTTCAAATCATGACCCAAAGGGGTAGGATGGGGCTACTATATAGGTGATCAAAGTTTAACATGGGATTTTATGAGAAAAATATTTGATAAACTTCTTTTCAAGAAAACAAGGCAATGTTTAGTAATATTAAGGACATACGCAACGAAGTTTGAACTTTATTGTCTTTTTCCCTGGAGTTGAAGAGTTCCAATACTTAAAGGAAGTGTGTGTTACTTCTCTATGTCTATATATGCTGTTGTACACTTCTTCTAAAACAAGTTTGGATAAACAAAACATCTAGAATATATGTTTAGTAATTTTTGTATATTTTTCTTTGAATTATACGAGAATTTTCATCAATTGATATCTTTTCAAAACCCCTGGTAATGCATGCTGATTTTTTGTCTATGAACATCTGATGGCACTATAAACTTAAATTAAGAATATCTTGAAAAATTATCAGTAGGTAAGGTACGTTGCGTATGTCCTTAAGATGCAAATATCCAGTCGTAGTACAGATTCAAGATTGTTCCAATCATGCCCTCCGGGTGTAAGATGGGGCCACATAAGGGAATCGTTTTACACTGAAATATAGGGGAAACTGTTTTAAAATCTTTTCAAGAACAGTTGGGTCATGATTAGAGATATTAGATGAAAACATTATGTAGTTCAGATTCAAGATTCAAGATTGTTCAATTAATGCCCCGGGGGTTAAGTTGGGCCACATCAGGAGATCAATATCTAAAAAGGAAAATTTAAAACATTGTTTTAAAAAATAGCAGGGCTACATTTAATGGCATTTATATGGAAATATTCCATAGTAGTGGATTCAACAGTTTTCTTCAAATGATAAATCCTGGGGTTAGAGTAAGGCTAAAAAAGGGAGCTGTTTTCACCTAGTGTATATTTTCTTCTTCTGCAGAACAGCAATTCCATATTAGTTATATTGAGAAAGAAGGATCCCCGGGATGTGTTTATTCAAGTTTTGTTATGTTATGGTATTTGTGTTTTTAGGGTGACCCTGCAATATAGGGAAAGAACTTTTTCATATGAATGAAGATGGAATTTTTTAATCTTGTGATTAAGAAATGTAGGGCTTTAAGACTCTAGAGAAAGCATATCGACCGAGCATTTCGTGCTCGGTTGAATTAGATGAGAGTGGTTGCCCTTTTAGACATTTTTTACTTAGTTGAATTACTTCAAGTCAAATCCAAATTTTGGAAATGGAATCGAAGTATGTTTAATTGGAAAGGTGTAATTTTGATATGTAAGTCTAATTAATCTGAGAACCGGGTGCACGTAGTCGAAAAAAATAGAGTTAGGCCAAAATGTCATGATCTGATGATTAATTTCTTCTACTTGTCATCTTAAGATTTTTTTTTTAAATTCCTGGTTCAAGAATAATAAATGAAATTTTAAATATTAAACATAAGGATTTTTTTCTTTCATACAAAGCACTTATAAAAAAAAATGTTGCTAAAAAATAGTAGATCTTTGTGACCAAATACCTTACTGCAAAAAGCAAAAGGTATTTTCGATCAAAATCAATATTCCATTGAAGTAAAAGGGCAGTCGTGTTATGCAAGAGTTGCGGTGTCATTTGCACACGTTATATACATGTGTTAATTTCAGGCCATCCCCGTATATAACCCAGTGTAAAGCAAATCAGATCATTATTCGGACTTGCTTACAAGAGTTGAGGTAACATTGCTTTTCAAAGTATAATGGCTGGGAATTTCTCAAACGCATCTAAATCTGTGTCATACGAAATAGAAGAAATAGAATATTATTTCCTGTTAGTTACCGGTCTCATTATAGTGATCCTGAATATTTTCGCAGCCCTAATTCTAAAAAGGAGTAAAAAACTACCCTATCAGATTGCCATCATATCCATGAATCTGTGCATGTGTGATCTTGGAACAGGACTGATACTCATTGTTCCAAAAATTTGGTTTTACAAACTTTTGGGGTGTTACGTGAAAAAATATATTTTATTCACCGTCTTGCGCGCCTCATTTTTAACTGTAACGTTTATCAATATAGACCAGTGCTGTGCTAGCTACTTTGTTTTTTACTACAACAGAAAAATTACACCAAGGAAAGTTAAACTTTGTTGCGTTTCTATATGGATTCTTGGATTTATTCTTACATACATATTGTATTTCAATGGCGAACCAAACACAACAGGCATACAATGTTTAGAATACAGCATTAGTCATGAGAATGGTTTTTCATGTTACATTGTGTTAGGAATACTAATATTCGATTATGCTATGTTTGGTTATCTTTCGTATGTTACTAGGAAAAGCCAACGAGTTTCCCCACTGGAACACGGATCTCAACTTACTCCGATGTTTCGGAAAAACTATTCAAAACTTTCAATTATTATTGCCATATTTTTTGTTCTTCAGTCACCAGCAGTGATATATTTCACTCTTGTACATCTGTGTGAAATCCAAAGACAAACTGCACTAGATTTCTTTTTCGGCTTAATTCGTCTTTTGAACTGTATGATAAACCCATTTCTATATATTGGTAGATTTCAAGAGAGTAAATTTCAGCTAAAGTTACTGTTAACGTCATGTAACAGACAGAGGAGAGATGAAGTAAGAAGAGAAAGGAAAGAATATTTTTCCACTTACACAATTCAATTAAATGCACAAAAACAATCAGAAAAAACTTGACAATGAAGATTCTGGGGAAAAAACTTTAAAATAACGACTCATAAATATTTACATTTGCTTTGTTTTTCTACTATACTACTAAGAAATTGATTTAATGGTCATTTTCGTGTATACTCACGCGTAGAAATATACAGGGGAAATTCGCGCTAAAGTGACATGACGATGAGGATACAGAGACGTCAATGAAAATATAACGATATAGGGCAGCGAGAAATTTAAACACTGAGTGTATTTTTGCTACGTTTAAACATGTAAAATGTAAATATAAGGAATGTTTTTCAGTTGTGTGTGAATTATTGGTGTGTAAACACCACACACTTGCATGTAGGCATATTTTTCATGAACCTACGCGACAAATCTGTGTGATTTACACATCAATAACTCACACAAAACAGAAAATAAACATTTCTTAAATCACTTACTGAACGTCATTTTTAAACAATACCGTGAAATCAAAATTACATGCAAAATATTGCCTCAGAATCACTAATAATGATTCAGGAGAATAAAGAAAAATCTTGAACATATCTTTGTGTAAAAAAAATCAGAGATATTTGTTAAAATTCATGATAAATAAAACATTGGATTAAAAAAAAATCATATTATTTTCAGAATTTACACAATATTTAACCTTACATATGGTGAGTACA